GCTGAACCACAGGAAGTCAATATTATCTAGCAGCATTACCAACACTTCCACTGCTTACTGGGCTCTTAGAAGACATTTAGGGGTAAAATAGAGCTAAATTAACAGCACAGAACACCGCGTCCAGGACTGGTGGCTGTAAAATTGTATGGGTGCATGGGAAACTTGGCCATATGCATGATCAGTGGACATCCAAGCTAACTAAAATCATGCCGGACCATAGATTTTGCCAAACCACAGAGTTCTGGACTAGACAGGTTCATCCTGTACCATCAATTCATGTTCTACCATGTGAGATCTGACAATATGATGGCCAGAGGTCAAATGGCTAGTGGACATGGTTAACAGATATTGCCATTATATTAAAACCAACCTAAAACCATCTCTGAAGAGACCACCTGGAACACATGATTACTTGCAGAGGTCATAGAACATCACAGCTCTCTAGCATGCAAACTTTTGACAGGAACTCATCTGTTACAAGCGACCACTTCTGCTAACATGAGTCTATCAATCTGAGCATAAACCACTAAGATTTCCATGCGATTACATGATTATTCAATTGTACCATATCTAACATCCCTATTCTGCATCAAAAAGGCGCTTAACCCTTTCTTTCCTGAGCATCCAGATGTGATCATGGAGTCATCTGGTTGTCAAAACCCTCTCATAAGCTAACTACTCCAATGTCTTTTAAGTGAGAAAAGTTCCCCATCTTCTCCTTCATGGAGTCCTACCCAATAAGCATACTCACTCTACTTACCCTGGCAGGATTTGCCAGCCTGGCAGTGTGTCATGTGGTTTAGGACATTCTTCATGGTGCGGCAATGAGGGAGGTTGCACTGTCGCATCTCACCATTTGCCTGTTCCCGCCGCTGACACTTGTGAGCATGTAAAAGGAGAACGAGCTGCTGCTGAATGAGTTTACGTTTTTCTGGATCTGCTGTAGGTGCTCCCGATCCCATTCCTTGGGGAGCAGCTGCCACCATCCCAGCTTGTTGAACTGGAGGAGCCTGCTGCTGGCCCTTGAGAAAAGTGATGGAGACATACACAAGTCAAAAATAATCAGGGTCAATTCACTGAGTAGCCAGATCATGAATGCAATTCTGTGTCTTCCACCTACCTTTAACCATTGATTACCCAAATTTAATGTTTATCAACACTTATCAGCAACAAGTTTGAGCATCAGCTTGCAACAACTGTACTCTCTGCCTACTACTCTCTCCTTCTCCCTTTTCTCCCCAACACTATCTGTGTGACTCAATTAAGGCCAGTTCGATTCACACCCTTTCAGATGTATTTGTGAGGTCACATTACATAAAATACATTCAATATGACTAGAACTAAACTTCATATTTAAAACATCTCAAAGAAATGTGCTCCTATAGCACTCATACAATTATTTAAAGAGGTGGGGATTAAAAAAATCTCCACCTTTGAAAGCAACAGAATGAAACTTAAGAGGAGATGGCTGAGAAGTTGCCTGGTCACAAACATTTCATGCAGGTATCACAGAACAAAGGTTTTACTTATTCTCTACCAGATATGCCACAAAACTTCTGGGTAGTGCACAATTTAATTAGCCTAGACCAGCATTTCTCAAATGTGGCCACCAGGGGCTTTTCTTGCAGCCACAGCCTCTTGGGCTAGGACTGAGGAGGCAGCTTGGGAAAATGTGAGCATGCCACTAGCAAGAGTTAATGGTCACATTCCAAGGCCACAAAAAAAATTATCCTAAGAATTCCTGGCCTAGATTGTGCTACTTCATTTAATGCTTCCTTTAAATACTTAGAATAGCATTATTAACTTCCTCCTTCCACAAGAGGAGCAGCACAAAATTATAATGATGAATAATCGTGCTTCAGAATAGCCTGAAATGCAGTGTTCAGAGCTTCATCCTATTCAATGTATGCATACGGCTTCTTATTGAGATTGCTCCTAAACATTAAGTGGCATATGCAGAGTACATCACATAATCAACATGCATTTTGACTTCTGGATCCTGTTTGATCTATATCTGGTCTGGACATATGCTCCTCAACATCTGAAGACAAAGTTTGATATTAGGTAGTAGTAGCCAATACAAAAATGTCCTTTTCTTTAGTATCTCCTATTCGCCTCTCCCTCTTCTGAGAACCATGCTAGAACTCAGGCACTATTTTGGTCATTCTTTTCAGGGAAAGCTGTCAGATAGTACAAGAGCGTTTTTCCACTAAATTTGTACTAGATGCACTTTGATTTATCCTATAATAATTTTTGCAACAGCAGCATATTCAGAACAAAAAGCTTAGATATTATAATTTACTTCTAGTAACACTTCTAGCAGAGCTCTTACCACTTACTGAATGTGGCAACACTGCTGCTTAAGGAATTAAGCCTTAGCTCCCTGTTAGTGACAAACTGATCAAGATAGCCCCATTGATTTTTAGAATTCTGAAAGATTTTAAGTTCACATATTGCCGATATTGCCATAGCGTTAAACAGCTGTAATGATGGACCAGCGTAGCTTAAGGACCTTCTTCTTGGCTTATTTTGACAAGTAGCCAATCTCATACGAAGAGTCCCATCACACTTTTGCTGTTGTGGTATGCTTTATCCCTAAGACATCCACTTCTTCCACCCTTCCCATTTTTCACAACAATCAGGACACACTGCTTCCAGATTTTTTTTCCAGTAATTCCAGTCCCTGTATAAGTTTCTCCCTTTCCTGCCTTTTAATAGGAAGATTTTTTTATTGCATTGCATTCCATTGTTGTATAACACCCCTAGGGCCTATGCATGGGGAGCACTGTATAAATAAGGTTAGTGAAAACTAAATTCAGAGTACTTTAATATCCCTAACTGAATTCTACTAAGCTAGTTTGAAGAGGATTTTGGCTATAAACATCTGCTGAAATGAAAGCTTAGAGTCTGATTCTGACGAGGAAGGAGAAATCTTTCCTTTTCAAGGATGAACTTATTAGAAACAAGAATGTCCATAATAGTTAGAAAAATATGTTAATCATTTTTATACACTTTTTCTGTACTCTGCTGTGAACATAGCAGGATGTTATATTAATCCTTTTAAACATAAGTTTTTTAAAATAAAAAAAAAATACAAAATTAAAGTGCAGTTGGAACCACTAGCTCTTTTCTGAAAAAGTCAAGACTCTGAATAAAGTCAAGTCTCAAAAATTAAGTGTTTATTTTAATTCTAGCCCTTTTGGCCATGTATTTTAAAGAATCCCACCCCTTTTTCCTCTGAAAGTCCTGTTTCAACAACAGCAAGGGGCAGAGCCACCACCAATAGCAGCTGCCTGAAACAAGAATGCAACAGGACAACCACAGCTTCTAAAACATGAACAAAGCTCTTTGGGGATGATGCAATCTGTTATAGGACTATATAGTGTCTTCCACAATCAGACCGTGGGTCCAAGACTGGGACTCCCAGATGCTACCATAACAAGTATTACTATAAATGTGGGAACAAAAAGATTTGTTCTCTCTCTCTCATGGTAATCTGGTAGTGAATGGATGAAAAGCAGCTGCCAAGACACAAAGCTGACCTGAGGAAGCACAGTGGAAAACCAGTGAAGGAGATGGAAGAAAAAAAATCAGGGCTGGACAGAAGGTCATCAAGTTGAATTATTCTGGAGGAGGAATTCCTCCCACTCCTGTGCCATTGAATACCCTCACTTCCTTTCCCAATATTCCTTAATCTGACACTAGTGAGGAGAGGGAATCTACTCTAGGGATGTAACATACCAGATAATCAGTTAACTGGTTCAATGTTAGGTTTGCCTAGTGTTTAACTGGTTAACCGACTAAAGCAGGATTCTTGGCTGGAGACTACTCCAACCCCAATGAAGCAGTTCCCAACCAGTGGGGCTCCCACCTCCCAGACTGGTGCTGGGGTTACCAGTGGCTCTGCTGGTTCCCAGTCTCTGCCCAGAGACTGCTCCAGTGGCAGGAGCAGCCTCTGTCTGGTGGGCACCCAGGACAAGAGCAGTCTCTGTCCGTGGCAGGCCCCTGTAGGGCTGGAGCAGCCCCCTGCCCATGTCAGCCAGGAAGCTGCTCCAACAATGGCTACCAGTTAACCAGAACCAGTAAGTATTACCTGTTTAGGGGAATGCTTACCAAGTAATCTTTCACATCCCTAATCTACTTACCTCTTCCTTCTTCCCAACCCTCCACCATGCATACTCATGACACAGAAGGACACAGAGAATGCATGTGGTATCTGACAGCTATAAAATTCGGGAGTAGCAAAAGCAGAATATTGCAAGAGGCCCATATTTGATCTCCCACCCATTTGATAGTAAAACCCACAATTTGACCAAGTAATCTTTCACATCCCTAATCTACTTACCTCTTCCTTCTTCCCAACCCTCCACCATGCATACTCATGACACAGAAGGACACAGAGAATGCATGTGGTATCTGACAGCTATAAAATTCGGGAGTAGCAAAAGCAGAATATTGCAAGAGGCCCATATTTGATCTCCCACCCATTTGATAGTAAAACCCACAATTTGATCCCAGGAACTGGCTTCTTGTCCATTGGGAACTGGGGTAAGCTGTTTGGTAGCCCAGTCTTATTCTGCATCTGGGAACCAAGTCCACCGGCTCCAATCTGCTGCCCAGAGTTCTGGCTGTATGGTGAGCCATAAGGACTGGGATTGCTCATCATTCCCATCTAAGGATTAAGAAGAAATATAAAAGTTATACTAGGTTTAGTCAGGAAGATAAGTTTCCATTTAATTATACTCTGCTTATATTTCTTACAGCACATTACAAGAAGAGACTAGTGGCACAAAGACCCAGGAACAAAAATTAGTCTGCTATGTGAAGCTCTAACACATGCTGTGTGTTCCTCATTTAAACCACTTTATGTAACTCCATACCCTCACCACAGCAAGACTAAACACACAGATTGGCTATCTCCATTAGGGCTTTGTCTACACTGCAAGTTTTTGCGGCAGAAAATGTGTTAATATGGGACTCATTAGCATAAGTTGCGACATCATTAGCATATTTTCTGTCATTTCTTTTGCCACAAGAGTTTTTGCACAAAAAGAAGCAGTATAGCCACTTCCGTTTTACGCAAAAGCCCTGTTTTGCACAAGATCCTTATGCCTCTCCGCAAGGCTACACTGCTTTTTGCACAAAAACTCTTTGCGCAACAAGAAACAGCAGAAAATATGCTAATGATGTAGCAACTAATGCTAATGAGTCCCTCCATAAGCATATTTTCTGCAACAAAAACTTGCATTGTGGACAAAGCCTAGGAGTTCTAGAGAACTACCAATGCAAATCTAGTTAGAACTGTTCAAATATTTTCAGTGTAAAGTATTTAGTCCAGCCGGCTTATCACTTAAGGTTATCTTTACTTATTATTTACTATGATGATCATCATTATATTGTAGTAAAACACTTCACAAATAGTGACTATATCCTTGCATCAGCGTGTGATAAGAAAGCATCCCCATTGAAGAAATGGAGAACTCAGGCATAGAGAGAAATTAAGTTATCTGTGTATTGTCACACAAAGACTATAAGAGAAACAGATCCAGTCTTCTCAAATTCCAGTCCAATGCTTAACCATAACATCCTTCCCACTTAGCAGTTAACATGCTTACTCCACTTTGTCTTGCTAGCAATAACCATGTTATGTCTAGTTGGAGCTTGCACTGTTGAGAGCCCCATGATAATAAGGACGTTTGAAAACTTAAGATCTCATCTATAGCAAAGGCTTATCTAAAAAGACTTTATGTCAGGCATAGGTGTCCACAGTAGTGCTAAATCTACCACCACACTAGAAGCTCTGTAACAAACTTTGGCATACTGCAGCAGTATATCAAAATACACTAAAACTTTTACACCTGGTCTAAACTGGGAGTTTAGGTCAAACTTAACCACATTAGGTTGTTTTTCTAAATATTAAGTCCATACTACCAAGCCTGTTCCGTCAACTTCAATGGCCATTAAAATATATTCGGTATTTTTGCTTTCTTGAGGGTAACTGCTAAATTCCATCTTGCATGTTTGACTATGGGAGTTCAGATGCAGCTCTGAGAAAGTATACTTCCTGGAGGTCAAGAATGTATCCTGCAGGTTGAGACCCCTATGGCCATGACTTTCAACTCTACAGCTCTGCAAAGGTACATCTATACAGTAACGTGTACCTTGAAATTAGCTACAAAATTTGAGCTACACAAGTTGCCTAGCTTATTTTAAAATCTGGCATTGTCCACACAGCACTTATTTTAAAATAAATTGCTATTCCGCTGACTTCCTTAATCCTTGTATAATGAGGTTTACAGGAAGTCGGCGTAAGTACCCAGTTATTCCAAATTTATTTCAAAATACTGAACTTCTTGTGTAGACAGCGCTTAACATTATTTCAGAATAACAAATGTTATTCCAAAATAACTCTGCTGTGTAGACATACAAAAAGTGAACAGGAAAGCCCCCTGGAAAATTTCAATTTAATTTCCTGCGTGGCCAATATGACGAGACTTCAGAACAGGAAGCACACTTGACCATGAGCTCCATTTTCCAGGTTGCAGATGAGCACCTTACGGTGTGAGTGAGAGGAATCTTTTCTTGCAGAACTACAAACCAGCAAAAAAACTGCAGATATCCATGCCAAGATCACAAAGGGCATGGAGGAGAAAGGATACACCGGGGACACCTGGCAGTGTAGAATGCAAATAAAGGAGTTGAAGTATCACACCAAGACAAAGGAGGCAAATGGATGGTCTGGAGCACTGCTGCAAACATGCTGGGAGAACCTGACCAGCTTCCCTAGCCAGTCTGTGGATTCCTCCCAAGACTCTCAGGCAGCCTTAGGCAGCAGCATAGAGGACAGCATGGTGGAGGAAGGAGGAGGAGAATGGTCAGAAGGGAAGCAAATTTTTTGAACAGTATCTTTATTGCTTGTGTAAAAGAGGTGTTTGAGTGGGGGAGGGGAGTTACAGGCAAGCACACTGAATGCAGGGGCACTTCATTGAGAGCAACACGCATGACTCAAAAATGACCATTCATAAATCTGTCTTTCAGGGCTTCTCTGAGTTGTACCACTGTCCCTCGCTGTGCTCTCTTTATTGCCCTGGTGTATGGCTGCTCAAAATCCCTGACTACATACTATGTGCCTTGGCACTCCATCCTGACGAATACATTTCCCACTTACTCTGATATTATTGAGCACACAGCAGGCTGTCATCACAACAGGAATATTGCTTTTGCTGAAGTCTAACAGCCTACAGGACACCTTCCCTTTAAACACCCAAAAGCATATTCTACCATCATTCTGCACTTGCTTAGTTTGAGCTGTTCCTTACTGCGGTCCAGGCTGCCTGTGTATGGCTTCATGAGACATGGGAGCAAGGGGTAGGTAAGGTCTCCCAAGATCACTACTGGCACGTCAATGTCCCAATGTTTATTTTCCAGTATGGGAAGAAGTTCCAGCTTGCCAAAGAGGCAGGAGTTCCTAAAGATGTGTGTCATGCACCTTTCCCAACCTTCCCTTCTTGATGTTGGGGAAATGGCCTTGTGATCCAACTACTCCTGCAGCACCATGAAGAAGTACCCCTTGCAGTTTATGTACTCCTTGACAAGGCTGTTGGATGCCAAGATGGGGATGCATGTTCCATCTATTACCTCACCACAGTTTAGGAACCCCTACGTCCTCCACGTTTCCCAGAGTCACTACCCTCTGTGGCAGAAGGGTACTGATTGCCTTGACTACTTGGATTACAACAGCCCGCACTGTAGACTTCCCCACTCCAAACTGACTCTCGACCAGTGGCTGGCTGGCTGGCATTGCAAACGTCCACAGGGTAGTTATCACTCACTTCTTCACTGTCAGAACATGTCTCATTCTGGTATTGCTGCACTTCATGGCAGGGGAACACAATTTGCAAGCTTCCATGAAAATGGCCATATGCATGCAAAAGTTTTGCAGACATTGCTGATTGCCCCATACCCGCATAACAATGTGGTCCCACCAGTCTGTATTTGTCTGGCAGCACCAGAACCAGCATTCCACTGTGTCCAGAGGATTGAATGCCCGTGGCATTTGCACTTTGCTCAATTCAAGTGCTTCACAAAAGAGTATTTTAATGATCACCCAGGATTCTTCTTGTTGCAACAGACCCTGAATATGTTCTGGACATACTCCAGCATTAGGCGCACCAAGGTTACAATCATCATGTTTTGATGCTCACCAGGATCCACAATGGATTCCATGCTTATGCTGCTGTGATATCTGCACAGATAACCAACAAGAGAAAAAAGGGCACAAAAAGACTGTTTGCTGTTAGTCTTAAGCAGAGGTGAAGGGAGGAAACGAATCCATTATGGTCCACTGACAACATGTACCCAGAGCCACTAGCTATACCGTTTTGGTCCCAACATGGACTGGGAGCATAACCCACAATGCAAAGGGACACAAGCATGTTGGGATAGCTACACACAATGCATTGCTCTCCAAGTCGATGGTAGCTACCCTACTGGTGACAAGCTTCTTTGAACTATGTTGAATTCTTGCATGGTGGGGACATGCACCTTACAAAATCGGGGGCTAAAAAATGGATCTTAAATTCAACCTTACCTTTAAGTCCAGACATGGACTTAGTACATGGTCCGCACTGTCAGCTAGTGCATGGCAGGGTAGTATGCTTTAGATTCGTACCAAGTCTCCATGTAAACTAGCCCTTTGTTTGCTCTAACTAAAGACATCAGCCATCTGCATTAGGGATGCAACAGTGTAGTCAGCAGTGTAGTCAATTAACTGATTAGAAAAAGCTTACAGGTTAATGCTATCGACTACATGCATTCCCTGATCACCACCAATACATTTATCAGGCTGGCCAGCAGCCCAGTTCAGTCCTGGCTTGTAGCGGTCAGGGACCTATCCCTGCGGTGGCTCTGCTTTAAAAAGTGTATTAGTAGCTAGGCAAGCAGGCAGCCTGGCTCAGTTCCAGCTCGCACCAGGTCCAGGAGTTCAGCACACACACACCGCCACAGCCAGGGGCTGCTGCCATCCCGGAGCTGCTGCCTCTATCAGGCTCCTCTCACAGACCAGCTCTCACCTGGCATCCCCCACTGCTGCCACTGATAGAGTGCACTGGCTGCCGGCTCCCCCCCCCCGTATCTCACAGACCAGCTCTCACCTGGCATCCCCCTCACCTGCCACTGAGAGGTTGCACTGGCTGCTGGCTCTGCCCCCAGGTACTATAGAATAGTCGAGTAACCAATAAGAATTCATGAGGTTATTCGACTATTCAATAACCGATATTTAACATCTCTAATCTGCATAGCTGCACCAGTGCAAGAGATACCATTACCATTTTCATCAATGGTGCTTAATCCAAACGATTCCCACTCATGTGTTAAACTTCCAACCTCAGCCCCCTGCACCTCAAATACCTTCTACAATATGATTATGTACTTTCTGTACAAAACTAAAAGAGGTAGTGAAATTTTAAACAGACACACAGGAAAAGTACCATATCAGTTTTGTGATCCAGTAGTCCAGTATTTTATATAAAAATAGCCAGTCCCACATGTTTGAGGGGAAGATGTAGTATGGTACCCTCAAAGCAGCATGAAGTTATTAAATCTGCCTATAGGACATTTCCTCTGATCACGCTTGGAAATATGTATTCTTTTAAAATATTTTTTCTAAGTTTT